AGTATATCTTAAATTTGAAAATGGTATTAGAAATTATGTTCCACTTCCACTGAAGAGACAGGTTGCGATGTGTAGAAATAATCCTTGGTTGAAGCGACCATGAGGTATCACGAATACATTAATGGAGAGGTTTTCTAAACGTTTTTCATATAAATCAGTTAAATGTATCTTGTAATGTATCAGAAAAATGATAAACAACGATACTTCTCTGAATAACAATTGGCTAAAGGCTCTCTACTGTAGTTAAACTCAATCAAGGAAATTACAGTGAACATGGTTGAAGCATTTTGCTGAACGAAACGAATACAACATTACGTCAAATTTTATTTTGTATTCTTTTCTCTTTGAAGGTTCATTAATGGATACTGATGATGCGTGATCCTGAGGTGGCTACAAAGTACAAGTCAATTTTGAAGACATAAGGTAGAAAGCCTATGCGGAGCAAAATCTAAATCCAAAAACATAGTAACCTACAGAAATAAAAACCGTAATAAAGTCTGGAACACGCAAAATTGGTCAACTTCAAATTGGTGTATTTCTGTTAAAAAGCATAAAAAAATCGTAATCTGGACGTGGCAGCGACGACGAAGAAGGTGGCGGTGAAATATAATCGGTATCCTAACTTCTCCATGCAGGATGTCGCTGGCAAGGTCAATGTCTCCCATACTACTGTGCAGCGAGCCGAGAAACGAGCCGGGTTGTCGACGTTTAGGAAGGTTAAGGTGGCGAACCGCGATTACAAACAAAACACGTCGGCAAAGCAGCGGTCCCGAAAGCTGTATACGAATCTGCTCACAAAGTTCGACAGTGTCGTCATGAACGACGAAACTTATGTGAAGGTGGATTTCAAGCAGCTTCCGGGACAGGAGGTTTATATCGCATCAGGAAAAAGGAAGGTGGCTGAAATTTTCAAAACCATCAAACAATCGAGGTTCCTGAAAAATTATCTCGTCTGGCAGGCCATATGCACGTGTGGTCTAAAAAACGGTATTTTCATCAGTATAGGAACCATCAATCAAGAAATCTACGTCCAGGAGTGCTTGGAAAAGCGGCTGCTACCATTCCTAAAGCAACATAATTGACCTGTGCTGTTCTGGCCGGACTTGGCGAGCTGCCACTATAGGGAAAATGAAAAATCGAGTGGTACGATGCGAACAACATGGTGGTTGTGGTATCCAAAGACCACAACCCTCCCAACAGCCCAGAACTCCACCCTATCGAACGGTATTGGGCCTTGGTCAAACGGAATCTAAAAAAAACAGCAGTTTAAATCTAACAGGCGTTCGGCGGCAAATAAGGTCGATGGGACCACTGTACACAATTTAATGGAAGGGTTTAAGCGGAAGGCACGGCAGTTCAGAGTTGGCAAACCAAAAGAATAAACGAACATTTATTTCCTTTAAATATATGAATCGAACTACCAAAAGAAAAATAAGAAGAATTTTGTGATATGAATTTTGACTGAAAGAAACGATTTTTTGTCGACCCATTTTTGCGCGTTCCAGCGTTTAAATCAGTGTTATTTGATAGTATTCCGTGCGTATAATGACTACCAAATTAGACAGAGGGAGAGAGATCCGTCCTACAGCCTGAGGTTAATTGAAAGCTGAACTCATAACCCAAAACGATCGTACACACTTAATTTGTATTGCCAAGATTTCAACAGCCGGTTAGTTCTGCATTTGATTTTGGTTAGACTGAGTAAAAACAAATGCTGAGATATCTAGAAATAGATATTTTGCAGAGATACCAGCAAAACTAAATTTCGAGCTAATCGACAACCCAACTAACATATTCAGCTTTATAAGCCAACGTATCCAGCGTTGTGCTGTAAAGTAGCTGAAAAGAAGCTGCAGATTCAGCTACAAGCAAAAGCTAGCAAAATAGTTTTGGAGAGCGTTTACTCAACTTTTTCACAACCATTATTCAATTTGTCAGTCGCACTGAATAACCACAGCCAAAAATGTCTCTTTTATACACATACTAATCAACTTTCAACTTGTTACTGCAAACCAAAGCTAATAAAGTGAATATATTACTCATTTGGTGGCTTCTACACAACCAACCACTCTTGCTGAATAACATAAACATCAAAAGTGCTTTTTCAACAACTAAACATCCTGTACTCAGCTAATAAACTGTGTAAGAGCAACTTCAGAAGCATTTTAACAGTCAACTAGGTTTAGTTTTAGACGTGTGCAGTTTTACAGCTTTTACTTTGCTCTTGTACAAAACTGAAGTATCTAGTCGAGAAAAGTGATTCATGTGCACTAGTATAAAGCCTCTACTCAGCGATTTTGTTGTAGAAGGGCATGTTGTATTGTTTACATCAGTTCAAAGTGTTGGCGTAGAGTCAAGGTTTGCCAATGAGGTCGTCTCGAGTTCGATTCCAGGTTCCGGTGCAGGGTAAATAATTTGGTGATGATTTGTAGCTAATTTCGATTAATTTGATTTTACAGCAAAATAAACTCAATAAATTCCTTCATAAAAAAAGCGTAAACAGTATTTAACCCGGCTTCAAGAGAAAGCTGTGTAGTGATTATTGGATAACCGGGAAAAGGTTGAATAAGCGCATTTCAAGTTCACACACAACTAAACAGCAGGATAACAGCTGTATAGAAGCGTTAATGGATATGCAATAAGAGCAACAATCAATACGAAACTAACGATTTTAAATTGGCTCACCACTTTAGTAGCCTATTGGTCCCAAGCAAACGATTAACGTACACTATTCTAGTTGAAATTCTATTACTACACTATGTTTGTTTTGATTCGCTATGAAAGTTTGACAGATAACATCAGGGGTGTGTGGATTCATGCAGAACATGCAGGGGTGAGTGAAATAGCTTGGGACTGCTTGGGACCGTTGTTCTGGTACTGAGTGAGCCAAAAATAATAATGATTTTCTTCGGGACCCAGTGGTCTTTTGTAAAATTTTACCTCTATGATAAGAGCTTGTCTCAACCGTCCCTACAGCCATAAGTAGCTGACTAAGTACGCCAGATTTGCTTGTATAGAGGTTGAGTAAAGGTTTCCTCATATCGTATAACGTTTGAAATACAGCTTGAGGCTGTATATGTGAAATGAGTAAAGCGTTTGCATTGTGAAAATTGTTAGTTGGGATTTGCGATTTTTACCGAGCTAAATTGAGTGTGTACGTTAGATTTAATCTGATTTGACATCTATATGAAGGCTGACTAAAAGCGAATTGTAATTCGTGATCCAATAAGTTTAAAAAGTTCATTAATGGTTGTTTTACAGTACTATTATTAAAACTTCAAAGTTACATCATTAGATGGTTACATTTCTCCAGTTCGCATGAAAGCTCGAACCTTCTTCTTGATGGAGCCCATAAGCGCCCGCGCAGTATAAACGGACACGGAATCAGCGCATTTCTTCCATTTTTCTTGCATTTGTTTGATGGCCTTGACTGCCCCGCCGCTTCGTCGAAGTCGCTGCTTTGAAATTGTCCAGTATTTTTCGATTGGTCGAAATTCCGGGCAATTCGGAGGATTCATTAGCTTGGAGGAATAATCGATCTTGTTGGCAGCATACCTCTCCAGAACCACTTTGGAGTAGTGGCAGCTGGCCAAATCGGGCCAAAAGATAACTTTGCCCCTATGCTTGCGGATGAATGGCAATACACACTTTTTCAGGCATTCTTCGATGTAAACTTGGGATGCCACTTCGAGTGGCAAATCGCTTGCCTAATAATGGCTTTCTTTGCGAACTTGTCGGCAAACACGAACCTGAATCTTACCGGCATATTCTTACGTCCAGTCGCGACGCGATGTAAAACTTTTGACCGGGAAGCTGCTAAAAATCGAGTTTGACGTATGTTTCGTCATCGATGAAAGTGCAGCCCTTGTGTTTCATCAAAACACGGTCGTACACACTTAGATTTTTTCACCGAGAAGGGCACCACCGAGCAGCTCGGCATTTTATTTTGCTGGATCTCAGTGAAAAACTTGCCGAGAATCAGCTAACAAACGGGAATTTTGCCGAGATCTCAGCTAACAAACATATTTTTTGCTGAATTTTCAGCAAAATATAATGCCGAGCTGCTCGGTGGTGCCCATCTCAGCAAAAAAAAATCTAAGTGTGTACAAGAGCCTTGCACGCTGTTTGACCACGGAATTCTGCTTCATGTGCCCATTCGGATGTTTACTGTCTTTGTACGACTTGTATCCTTGTATCCCTGGCAAGAATGTTCCGCATCGTTTGAAAGATGGCGTTGTACCTTCTGGCCATATCTTGGATCGAAAGACCGATGTTGGCTTTAACGCACCTCAACACCTTGCTGCGCAGCTAACGATCCCTGGTTCGAGTTTTTTTTGTAGGTCTACTGATTCCTTTCCTCACTCAGGGTTGTAGGTTATAGGTTTTGAGCACTCGACAAATTGTTGTTTTCGGCATCTTCAGCACTTTAGCCAGCTTGGATTCGGACCACTCCAAATTTTTCAGTTGTTTGTGCACAATTTTTTTTTCTTCTTTCGAGTTCCATTCGACGTTATTTCTGAACGCGATCGACTACACACTTAGAATTTTTTACAGAAATCTGTAAAATTTTACCGAAATCTCAACAGCTGAATGTTCGGTAATCAATTTCACAGATTTCCTGTACTTTTTTCACAAATATCTGTGATTTTTTCACAGATATCTGTAAAAAATTACAGGAAAACTTAAAACTGTTTACCGAACGTTCAGCTGTTGAGATTTTGGTAAAATTTTACAGAAATCTGTGAAATAATCTTAGTGTGTACTTTGATCAAACTTGCACCAGTTGTTCTCTATAGAAGTGTAAACAAACCACTGTCAAAGATTTTCGATTCCTAACACTAGAGGCGTGCTAGCGGTACACGAGAAGCGTACCAATTTACTTTTAGTCAGCCTTTAAAAGATAAGCAAGAAAGTTCAAACCATAGCCATGTACAATTATGCAAAGTTTAACATTTCTGATTTTGGATCCAGTGCCAAATTTTGCCGTTCGATCCACTTACCCAACTGCTTGGTGCCGGCTGCATCCTTGAGAACGATTTCGGTGCTATCTTCACGGCGCCACGTTACAACGGGTTCCGGGTAGCCTTTCGCTCTGGAATGAAAAGATATCGTAACATTGGTAAGATTTAGTGCATCGTTTTTAGTTTGGTCGGGAATGTTGTCAGTGGGTAAAAGCTTTTTGACCGATTCTAGCGTGCATACTTAGAAATTATTACCGAATTTGTTACCGAACTTTCAACAGCTGAACCCTCATTTCAAACGCTGTTTCACCAAATTTTAATTTCCAAACACTGCCAGCTTTGTTTAAATAATCGAGTCTTGTCATTGTTGTACAGCTTTCCTTGTTTTGAAGCTTAAAAACTAATGATTTAAAATGCCTGATTTTTACAGAACAGTTCAGCTGTTGAAAGTTTGGATAAAATTACCGAAGTCGGTTATAATTTCTAAGTGTGTGAACATACCTATATTCTTTAATTAAAGACCAAAATCATAACCTCTTGAGAACTAGTGTCGAAATTTTGAAAATTAATAAATTATCTTATCATGCGTGAACAAATTGAGTTTTTATGGCTTATTACACAGCTTTTCATCGCCCTGTTTTCTATTAATCATTGATCATTCATTTTTTCCTAACGAGAAGCATAAATCCGAGATCCTGAAAATTTCACCCTCGAGGAAGCAACAGTACCAGCTGTCAAAGTGGAAGCAAGTACCTTCAAAGCAGATTTAAACCGAAAGGCCATGGTCCAGTCTTCAGACATGAACGAATTTACATACTGGCAGAGCCTCAACGTTTGGCCCGTTTGACTTTTCCAGTCTGACAAACAAGCTTCATAAAAAAAACCCCTGCCGGCTATCCAATAGGAAATCACTCCGTCGACTAGTCATCAGCCTTATTACCAGCCCCCAGCAGATTTTTTTTGTTACTGTTCAGTCCATCATATGCTTTCCACAAGCTCTAGAGAGCAGCTCTAAAAAGCACATGTCCATTAGGGTGTTTCATTTTGAAAAAAGTGATGAATTTTTGATAGGCCACCCTCCAGTTCGATTCATAGCCCCAAAATATGAACCTGTGCAAAAAATGGTAAAGATTGATGAAGGTTTAGAGGTCGCGCCAATGATTTGGATTTTGTATGGAGATTTTGGTGAATTAGTATGGGAAATTATTGATTTTCGTTTACATTGCTCTAACTTTGGTTGTAGTTGTCCAAACGTTGAAAAAAAAAAATATGTGGTTGTCATGACAATGATCAACAAGCCTGTTGTTGTTGCGATGAAATTGGCGTTGTTGCCTTGTACATATTCATCTGTCAATTTACCCTATTTTGCCATTTTTTCACATTTTTATAATTCTTGATACGCTGCAAAACTGAGCGTAGCAACTGTAGGCTTTTTGTTTATTGCCATAGCAATAACATACTAAATTTTTTCGACATTTGGACAAGTAGAAGCAAAGTTATAGCGATATAAGCGATTTTTTAAATTCTTCCATAGTAATTCCCATACAAATTTCAAATCATTGGCGCGACCTCTAAACCTTCATCAATCTTTACCAATTTTTGCACAGGTTCATATTTTGGGGCTATGAATCGAACTGGAGGGTGGCCCATCAGAAATTCATCACTTTTTTCAGAATGAAGCACCCTAATGTCCATAACTCTGATCAACTGTTTTTTATCGCTGTTCTCTGCTATCGTTGTAGCCTACAGACAGACGCCTTTTGAAGAATCAACCATCCTCGCCAATCCTGGCGGGCAATGGTTACCTCTTCCAGTCAGATCCAGATTATCCGTCGAGAATCGGGTTAGGAGGGAGGCAACAAAAAAATTGAAAAATGATAAATCATAGTTCCGTAGCTCTATGCGCTCCGCTTGATGTTGGTGGGTGAGCGCTCCGGATCGGAAATGGAAAGTGAGGTAATGGAACAATTGTACATCTTTAATTTCCAGAGCTGGTCTGGCTATCTGTGTCCGTCGATGTGCTTTGGAATGTGGTGTGCTGAAAAAAAATCCGCAGAGATTGAAGCGAATGAAACGTGTTGTCTCTGGTCCTAGATGGTGTGTAGGTTGTTGATTTTGCTTTTAAAAACGAAGCTACATCCATTAGCCTGATGGCTGACTGACGGACTGGTACCCATACCCAGCTTGAGTGGCAGACCTCTGAGCGATGCAGCAGAGACTGAGATCAATGTGTCGATGGTGTGTGATAGATTTTTTTTTAGTGAAATTTGAGATGATGACTGCGGGATATGTACCGGTCATGAATTGATGAACTAGTTAATTATTAGGCATTTGGAAGGTTTTTTTTTAACTTTATTTTGAGGTTTGCTAGTTTTGGCGTAATGATTTTTCATCGTTGTCGTCTTTCTAAATCAGCTGGATAACAATAGGACATGATACAAAGTGTAATATTGCAACAAATTACTCTGTTTCGGTGATAGTGAAATTGAATTTTCGAACCAAAAAAAGCATTTCAACCAGAAATGTATACACAAATATTAATATTCATGTGTACTGCACATACTTTTTTAAACTCTTTGTAAATTCAAAATTCAAATTAAAAAACACTTTATTTGAATCTAGGTGCACCAGCTACTACAGTAACTTACCAGCCTTTATTGTTTTGCCATATATCTCAGTGTGTTTACATTGTTTCTGCTGTGGTTATTCAGTATTTTAAACAGGTTTTCTCAACCTGCATCCCTGTATGTCAGAATATCAATTGGCATCTTAAAACTAAAAACTAAAACTAAATCTTATCTAAATATAAATGGAATTAATCGTTGTGTTTGTGTCGACGTCGCAAATGCAGGATCGTACTTTTTTGTGGACCTATGAACACTACGAGGAATCAGCTAAGAATCAAATTTCATAGAAGAACTGGCGAAACGCTACTGCGAAAGATCGGTGACCTCTAGCTATCCCCCACTGTTCCAAGCAGCGAAAGAAAGAGCGGAACGGGATCGCGTGGACTCTCTTCCAAACACCAACGAAATCTATAATTCGGACTTCACCCTGGAAGAGCTTCTGTGGGCACTGGACAAAGGACGTAGTGTCTCTACAGGTCCTGACTCGGTAGGGTATCCGATGCTCCGACGTCTGCATGTATGCGTCAAGATCGCGTTACTGGAGCTTCTAAACAGAGTCTGGTGTAGTGGCGTGTACCCTATCAGCTGGCGAACCGGAATAATAGTGCCGATTCCGAAGCCGCATTCATCTGAGTCTGGTCCTGCAGCTTTCCGACCTATCACTCTGACCAACTGTATCGCGAAGGTGTTCGAGCGCATGGTGAATCGTAGATTCGGTGTCACCCTCGACCGGTCACTGATTTCAAACAGCATTGTAAGACTGTGAAAACTACATGCGACTCAAGGCTGCGAATTCTTAAAATGATTGGGGCTAAACTTCCACGAGGGCAACGCGAGTCTCTTCTGTGCATAGGATCACCAATCTTTACGTCACGCATTCTTTACGGCATTGGACTTGTCAGCAGATCGAAGGATAAGGTTGTGCAAACTCTTGATTTCAGCGATCATGGCTGAAGCGGGCACATTACCGTTCGATCTCCTGGTTTTTCAAGCTACAGCTCGAATTGCCATTCGCTTGCTGGAAAAGGATCACAGAAATGTCGACTTTTCAGTCTTCCAACGGGTATCCGATCGTCTGGCGGCGGTTGATATAAATTTTCCGACCATCGCTGTACGGACACGTTTCGCCAATCGCTCCCAAGCCACGCATTGTTTGGGACGTGAAACGACAGGTGAAAGTGGGAGATCCCCCATCATTCAGGAGTTGCTGGCAAACCGGTTTCACCGTGCTACGCCCAAGTAACAAGTTTAGTTGTATGAGAGTTCTGGAGACCATGATTTAGGCTTGTAGAATGCTATAAAACCGCTATAAAGCTATCTATTGGGCGGCTATTTATACCGACGGTTCTAGGTGTGAAGATAAAGTAGTAGCAGGAGTATTCAGCGGTAGCGTGCAGAGAGCAATAGGTCTTCCGTCACAATGTAGCGTTTTTTATGCGGAGGCCTATGCGATCAAAGCTAAGAGATGAACTAGCCTCAGGCTAAAAATCTCTAAAATAAAGATTTAAAAAAAAAAAAAAAAACTATGCGATCAAATCGGCTGTCAACGAGGCGAGTACAATAAATGACTTGATCATTCTGTCCGATTCGGCTAGGCTGTCTTTCAGCAATAGAGAGTGGCAAATCGCAGCATCCCTGGATCCAAGAAATTGAATGTCTGCTTCAAAACCGTCCGATTCACTTCGGCATCCGTGGCAACGAAGAAGCGGACAAACTCGTCGGAGAAGCATGAAATAATCCGCCAATCAATATCGGTATTCCAGGCAAAGATGCCATTAAGGCAATGAACCAAGCCGTCCGTCAACAGTGGGAGGCACGATGGGCGCCACTTTCAGAAGTCAAGCCGAAGGAGATAAAACGTGACACGAAATAGTGGATCGATCAGATAAGTTCTGCCGACCAGCGAGTACTCACTCGTTTGCGCATCTGCCATATGTAACAAGTACGCTTTTCATTAATTTAATTATTTATTTTGTTAGTTATTTTTTTATACAGAATTCATATTTATGCAATTTACTCATTTAATCAAATTGCATGAAGTTACGTTTTTACAATCAAATCGTAAATGTGTTCCCCGCCAAGGAATGTCCTCTCATGTAGAGTTACACTTGCCATACAACAAGCAATGAGTTCCCAATACGTTCAGCCAATTAATTCCATTTGACCCGAATACGCTACCTGTTCGTTAAAGTCCGGAGTACGAATCCTAACCGTGCTCTCTTATAAAAGAGTAACCGAAAATAGATTTGAGCAAGACAGATTTTGAAATTGCATGATAAGGAAAGAGATGTAGCATTGAATGATTTTCAGAGAATGTTCATGAGAATTGTCGTTTGATAGGTCGTTGAATTACTTCGGTAATTTGACGTACTTCCGGCCAGGATGACCGTTGAATCCACATCTATCTGCGGGTTTCTGGATCTTCTACTCGTTCACTTTGACTTTAACCGTGGAAGAGGCGAGAGTGCGAGTAGTTGATACTTAAGTGTACTTAGTGTCGCGGC